TCAAACCATGTTTACAAGCCCCTCTGAATTTGAAGGACTGTTTTCAGCGACTCTAGTAGATTTGGGATCAAGCCTCCAAATAGGATACCCTTTCCACAAGCAAGTTTGTGACCACCACTTGCTCTTAGACCCCCCCAGTTACAAGCTTTTTCCATGTTGATGAGTATCAGCTCCCTTTGGCAAAGAGTACATCTGCTTCCTGCAATGCAACAGAAAATAATTCTGAAAAAAAAAAAACAACCCTATTTCCAAAGCTATCTGCCTCTCAACAAACTGTATGGACATATGTCAAATATTCTGTGTTTTCATATATATTTTTCATATTTTCCAGTTTGCGTATCGTTAAGATTAGTCCATAAAATCACAAGCACCAGACGTCTGAATACTGCATTTAAAATATTATACATATTTATTAAATATTTTCATTGCAAATGCAGGGTACAAATGGGTTTGCATTTCAGTGGTTTCAGGGGGGTGTTCCTAATGCAACTGTTAAGGTAAGCTGTGTAAAGCATAAAATTCTCAGAATATTCACCCTTTGAATTAATAATAAAATTATCCTTAGAAGCCTTTCCCCCAACACCACACTGAATGTGCCTCTCTCTCTGTATGAAATATGTATGACTCAAAATTGTCAAGCTCTGAGAAAAATCTATTTTCCTTTTCAGTTTCTCTGATTCAGAAGTCGCTTTGTTTGCAAAGCTGTATGACAAATTTGTGAATATGATGCATCAGGTAAATACAGTGCAATTGCTTACGTATCAACAGGAACTTGGGACATTAGGTAATTAAAAAGGAACAGAAACTTGGCAAGGCATCTCTGTGATTTCCTGGGGAACATTTGGTACAGAATCACAGCCTGCCAGGCACAGCTTTCAGCTCCCCAAATTCAAACTGAACGTCAGAAAAAAAAGACCCCAAAGACATCAGGAAATTCATAATACTTAAAATGAAAAATGTTCTAAATCCAGAGGCTCCGTCTCATGTTGAATGAGTGTGACTGTGTATTGCTGAGGCAAAAAAATGAAGTTTTCCTGCCTCTTTTGTGGAGTCTTTTCCCAGGCCAAATTCTCATTGATGGGTCAGGCAAGGGGTAAAATGCAGCCGTTCAAGCCCATTGACGAGTTAAGCTTTGGCTGCCAGCTGACAAATCTGGGAGGTCAATAAAGACTTTAACCTGGAAAAAGCCTACAAGATCCTGTGTGTTAAAACCAATGTGCATCGTTTAAAAGGAGAGATGGAATAAATATCTGTTAAAAGAACAGAACACCGTGTTCTTTGGGCAAAAATTTTCTAGTCTTTCTCATAGAGATGGAGTTTCCAGGGGATTTCTTGAGAACTAAAATATTATTGTGTCCCTCACTCGCCTAGTAGCTATGGAGGTATTTGCCAGATGTGGACAGGTGAACCTGTCTTAAATGTTGCCAATGCTTAAAATGTGCAGCTGATATTTTTTGGAAACAGAAGAATTCCCTATTGCTCACACAGAATCCTTTACTAATGTGCTCTAAAGCACATTCCCTCTGTTCCTGTTGTCTAATTAGAATGCCTAAGTGGAACACAAGTGCTTGATGCCCTGCTGCTCTACTCCTCTTGTAGGCACTGCTGGCTCTGGTAATACAGACATAAAACTGGAACATTACAGAACAGTCATTGCGCTTCTCTGGAGGAAATCTGCTGTAAAACCCAACTTTTGTAATAAGCTTTGCACAAAGGAGATGAGGACAATAGCATTTAACCCTGAAGTTCAGAAACAGAGTCCATTTCAGCATAGTACTTCTGGCACATAAATTATGACTGTGGTTTCCCCATTTTCCACCATTCCAAATACCTCTTTGCTGGAGCCATACAAATGAACCAGTGTTCTCTCCTGTCCCCTGCTCATCTATTTATACCCAAAGCAGTACACATTACAAGAGACTATATAAAGATCTAAGAACATCAGAGCCTTTTGTTGAGACTTTACTGTCACAGACCATCACTCCAGACTCACTGCACTATAGCAAACAGACAGACAGTACATCAGTGCTACCTCAGCAAGAATTTGGTTCACAAGTACCACTGTGCACCTGACTGGAACAAATATTTTGGCAAAAAGAATGTTGTAAAAACTGCAAAAAAAATCGCATTTTCACATCCTTATTTGACATTAATTTTCTCTGAATACATTCTGAATTTGCAAGCAGTCAGCTTGCAACAGACAAAGCAATGAATGTACACGCGAACAGAATATCCGGTAAGCAAGTCTGAATACTACATTAATAGACTGGTCCATACGTTTGAGCATTCTATTTTGCCCATATTATTTATGTAGAAGGAGCAGGGGGGAATCTTCTCTGTATCTTCTTTTAGTGAGTAGGGTTCTGAAAATGACCTTTTGGATAAATGCTTTTTGGCTTTTCTGCTCTTTTAAACTCTCTGGACAATGTGTTGTGATAAATGCATTCCATTTTATTAATAGCAATTTGCTCCATTTTAAAATAGCAAATATGTTAAAATTACATTTGTCGGGTGATCTTGCATGTTGAACAAAAGTTTAAGGTATGACTGGAATTGACAGTAGAACAGTGATGATGTTATGAAGATGAAAGCATAAATATTGAAAGGGTGAAATAAAGATAAAAGATAGTTTGCAACACCAGCACTGAAAATAATCTGATGTACATAACATTGCTCCTCAACGCATCTGTTGAGGTAAATGAGATTCCAACAGAGGCAATGGTTTACAGCCTAAGAGCTAGATCTTCTGAATATTTCAGCAGAATCAAGTGCAGAAGGCCCAGCCTGGAATCTATGACAACACAGCCACAGTACAGCCGTTCTTAACAGAATAATGACAAGCTTTTTCACAATTTTCAGTAAGACTGCTAACGCTGTATTTGTTTCACGTTTAAAGAAAATTGTGGAAGGAAGTATTAACTCTAGATCTACTCTAACTGTTTCTTAAACCTTACAGTCATGGCCATACTATACGGCACATTATTTGTAATATGAAATTAACAGAAAAATAAAGGGATAGTAGAAAAATATAACACGAAACTTATAGGATAGCATTGAGGGCAGTATACTGTTTGTAAGGTAATATATGGAATAAAGTAATCGTTCACTTTGGGGACCTACGATGCTTCCCACTCTGCCTCATTCCCCTCTTTTCAAGCATTCCCAAGTTCACACTCCACAGCTTGAATTGGGAAGGGTCTGATTCAGCTACTCTCGGCACCAAATACAAGCTACAAAAGTCTCCTCGACGTGGGATCCAAAACCAGACATAGAACTCGAAAAAATATGTCCCAAACCTCAGTATTTGAATGGAAACACGCTGAACAGAGATCGTGGGTTTTCCGCTGCTTCGTTAGCAGTGTAACAAACGGAGGGCGGGAAGTCAATGTATCTGAGCAGCCCCTGATACGTTTTGAAATGCCTCCATCGCATGAAAAAAAAAAGTTTTTAAAACCTGCACTTTCCCAACCAGCAACAGTTGTGCCTTTTATAGCTTTTCTCCTGGCATGGGATTCCATTAACAAGTACAAAAATTTAGACCGAGATTTATTAAGTAATAGCTATATTGTGTTGCAATTAAACGTAGGAAATTCGTCGTCTACTTAAGCGTTTAAAAATGCTTAACGTAGGAAGCAATTACACCTAATTTTCAAATTATTCCCCTGCCTACAGAGCACGCTGCGGACAGGGTACAACGCGGCGCTAAGGGCGGCGGGACATGCCCGCTCACACCGCCTTGCCCGGACCGGGGCGAGGGCTCCGGTCCTGGCCGAGCCGAGGCAGAGCCCCGGTGGGCGGCTCGGTGGGATCCGGTCGGCGGGGGGGGAGCGCGCAGGGGCAGGGGGGC